GAGATATAAGACATTTTTGTACCCTACCCTTTGTGTATGTTGTGTTATAGAAAATTTTATATTTATTGTGTAAGGACGTGGCGCCATCTATGAATGTAGTTAACGTTAACTTACGTCAAAGATAATAAATGCTCAATAAAAGCAATGATGGGTTGTTAATCTCCATGTTCCAAACTGTCATACCACAAAGTTTGGTTGAGATTGGCCCAGCGACCTAGGAATAGTTAGATAACAGACAAGACAGACACAGATTTTTGTGCTTTATACACATAGAAAGAAAACTATTAGTCTATTACCTTTGAACTTCATAATCTTTTGCTTACAAACCAACCTAGAACATCAAAAATCTACGTTATACCGATAGTCCATAAAAACCCTATAACTTTACACCCAATTACGCCTTTTTATAACTCTTAAAATTATAACCTTGGTAAAGACTTTAACTGGATTTTAGAACCTTGTGTTTCGAAAATAGGCATCCAATTAAAAAACACTTCACACCTTCACTACAACATTTACATAGTTTAGACAGTAACGTCATTATGTCTAGCTTTGGTGTCCTAAACCTATTTCCTCAAACCACCCTGTCATGAGGCAATACATCTTACTGCAGAAATTAGTTCACAAGACCCTAGAAAGAGAATCTACATAAACCAGGAACACCTAATTGAATTGTTACAACTAGCCACATTTAGTTGCTTTAAATACAGAGATTCGTACTTCCTTCAGTTACGTGGACTTACTATGGGATGTACGGTGCTACTATAGCGTGCGGTCTACCGGGACTTTTAAACTATAAACAAAGCATATAAAGATGTTGAATAATAGCAGTCTACCTGGGATATTTACACTGCTAAATAATTTATTAATGACAAATAATAGCAGTCTACCTGGGATATTTACACTGCTAAATAATTTATTAATGACAAATAATAGCAGTCTACCTGGGCAATTTACACTGCTAAATAATTTATTAATGATGAATAATAGCAGTCTACCTGGGATATTTACACTGCTAAATAATTTCTTAA